TTAATTTCAACTAAATCAGTTTCAAAAGCGTTGCGTATGATATTTTCTATTATTATTAAATGTTTACGTATAACTTGAAATTGTTTGAAACGTTACGATTGACTGTTAGTCTTTTATTTGTACCTTAAAATATTCGCGAATTGTACTTATCGTTCTTGACCTTTAGCGTATGATCCCTCTTTTTTATTCGTTCCCAGCTCTCAAGTACACTCAAAGTAACAAATGTATTCTATAGTTATTTTTAACAATTATAAATGCAGGCGTGGAAAGGACTGTCGGAAATGGGAGCAGTTTGATAGAAGGGTGTCTTTAAAGGAATGTTAGTCAAGGAGCTTTTCAAGGATGAACAATTGACTGACCGCGACTTATTTAAAACATATAAGAACAACAACCAAAAGATGGTTAAACTTGTTGATTTAAATAAAAATAGCAAGTACATACATATCTGTGACAAGAATGACGTGAAGTTCTCTTTTTTTTCTAAACTAAACACAATCGCACTAATTACTGGTTCGTCGATTCCGATTAGCAAATTACAAATGCATTGTTCCCGGAATAATGTTTGCCGACTCAAAATCCCCATTAAAGCAGAGAAGAATTTAGTAAATTCTTTTGATAAAAAAAGTATTGCCATTGTTGGCATAGTATAGGATATATTTCATTTTAATTTAAATAGAAAAAAATTAAGATAATTTAAATATACATATATTTTTTTACCCTATTGTATAACGATTGAAATACAAATTTTTGTTTCACAAACCTAAAACCAATGCTAGACAACATTCTTTAAAATTAAGAACAGTTCGGATATTTTTGTTGAATTGTTTGGAAATTGCTTTATATTAAGAAAAATAAAAATCAGGCTGGTAAAATACTACTTAAACTATCAACTCTATTATTTAAGTTTTTTTTTATATATGTATAGTAAAGTTCCTATAAATAATTGTTTATGTATGTATAGGTATATCTATTATACTCTGCTGTATAAACCATGTCTAAACTGAAAAACCAACAATCAGTCGTTTCCTTGAATTGTATTTTCCGAAAACGTCAAGCTCACTTTGAAATTTACGGCTAGAGTCGGTTTTACATCCGAACTTGTTTTCTTTAAATTGTAGCCGTCAATAACGTTTTCCTTGTAAAATTGGTAAACAGACTGTTGACAATGGATTATCTAAATAAAAATTTAAAAATGTAGCGATGGTAACTGTAGATACTATTTGATATACCTATCTATTTAAAATATACTGCCCTCAAGTATTACTTATAGTTTAAATAATGTACATGTAATGTACTACTTACAGTTTTTATATACACAAGTGAATCTCTAAGTCCGATATGCTTGACCAAATTGCATCTTCACACTACATATCGAGCGCTAAGTTTTTCATTAATAATTCACGTTATAGTATTACGTGGCTTATTGAATGAAAATCCAGAAAACATTTGTACATACACACATGTGTGACGTTGCAAACTGTCATCGTTTAATCTTTATTAAAATATTCATCAAAAAATTTGATTTTTTTAAAAACTATGGCGATATAATAACGCTTAAGTTCAACATGATAATCTGATGTGATTTGAAGAGTTCATTATATTCACCTATTATTTATTCAAAATAGTCACTCAGCTCCTAGTTTTTGTCAGCGAAATGTATTGTAACCTCGGATAAGTAGTATATAATTGTGGAATGTCATTTGCGAACGTAAATGGGGCACAGGAGGGTGCGAGGGGTGGTGGGGCTGCGATCTGAATTCTGATCCTAGTTGTTGCCCCTAGGCATTTACTATTAGTGCGTGAACAATCCCCTCCACGAAGCTATATACATACACACCTCCTCTGAACATATCCCCACATTCGCTTTTGACCACGGGCTTTCAAATCCTCTTAGTAACTTATCAAGTCTATTAGTTACTCCTTGGATATTACGATATACATTATATATAACAATTATTAATTCTCAATAAATAATTACAATTTTGTTTTTCTAAGGTTAAATAAACTGTTATGTTTTTTTAATATTTGATCGGACATAAAATACACGAAATAAATCTTCTTGATAATTAAATCTAGCGGAGCAGGTTTTGTAAGAGAAAAAGGTATATATTTTTTGTAACACAACAACTGAAAGCCTGCTTTTTTGGTGTTGCTAAAATAAAAAAATGCATAAAATAAATAAATTAATATTTAATAATTAAATATGTATTTTACTCAATCGGCTCTCGAGGAAAAATGCTAATGAAACACGTGATTGAATATTAAACCTCTCACAAAGTCATTGTATGTGCGGAGCTCTCAACAACGGACAGTGCCTGGTTACATGAATTGAAACCTAAATGCAACGTAATAGCGTAGTCATCTTTCATCTCGATTAAATCCTCTACAATCCGTTCGAGGAACACATACAAAAATAGACGGAGGATTTGTTATTAGGTATATGTACAATTAAAAGTGCGTACTTCAAACATTAATTGGCATACAATCGGAAACAAAATGAAAAAGTGATAACAATGCGTAGAACTCATATTTATGGGGAAATAAATTTAATTCATAAGTAATGGTTAAATTTTACTAAAGTAAACTGTATTTCTTTGCCATAAACTATTTATTGGCAGCTGCTGATTTCAGCTACACGAGATAAAGTTTAGTTTCTCGCTACTTTGCTTCGCTTTCTACAATATTGTATCGAATATTTGCGTCCCTACTCGTCTACATCCTTTGCGACTTTAATCAGTTCTGACGTAGTCAGTTAGGTTGTAGTAAGCCAAATGGAATGCAATCTGATGGAGGAAAGTGGGAGGAGAGAGTACATTAAGGTTAAAAAGTATAACCATATTGCACCAGATAAGTAAAACCATATTTATTAGTTGAGATGGAGGGATTCAGAAAATAAATGGAAAAAAAATCCTGTATGGATAGACCAATACAAGCTGAATATGAGAATCGAGGTAAAAGGAAATAAAAATGAAATTAAGACCAATAGGGTCTTGATATTTTTGATCAAAGCTCAACTTTTCTTTTTCAAATTAAATAAATATCGGCAGCAGTAAAGCAAATCTCCGCCAGCGATGTCTCTCGAGACGTTTATGCAAGCCAATCTTTTCTGTATCTGGGTCTGGGGCTGATTGCATTTCTCAGAAATTTCTTGAGTTCCTCAATGTTTCTGTTCATCTACTGAATCCAATAATGTAGGAAACAAAAATACACATAGGTATTGCTATTGATTGGGTTCAGAACCTGGAACTATTAATACCAGGTTTTTCCTAGAACTTATAAGTAATAATATTGAAAAAGCTTCGTGGAGTTGTATTTTATCTAAGTTTATGCTTTTAACTAACATTAAAAAGTAGCTATTATTACCCAAAAACAACTGTTGATGTCCCTCACTGGCAGTATAAATTCTCTATTGTCTCATTTTTAACTTTAACAAATTATTATTTGTACCTTTGCTTTATAGTGGGCCTACAACAATATATTTTAGTATAAATTCGTATATTATTATAGGATTTCTTGGTTTAGATAACAGGATTATCGGACAGGATTATAAAAAAATTCATTAGTTTTGTTGGGTTAAGCAAACTATATCTTTAATAGATATTTTATGTCCCTCAAGATTTATAATGTTTATTTACCTATCACCTAGTTAATTCGGTACTGCGTAGAGAAGGAAAACTCGAAACCAAACCCTATGCCAACCCGTCTGGCCAGCGTGGCATCAGTAGGCCAAAAACCTCCTTATGGCACTACAAAACCAAGGATCGGGTATTTTGGCGCGTATTGGGAGAGGCCTTTGTCCAGCAGTAGACCAAGATTGGCCAAATGAAAAAAAAAATCAGAACAAACCTATTTCTGTATAAAATTCTATTCGATTTATTTACTATTTTTCAATCTCGCCTATTCTTTTCTACATTTTCGACGAAAATTACTTTGAAAAAACTTATAATATAAAAATATTATATTATTTAATAATAACAATGCATTAAGAATGAGTTTTTCAAACTAAGGTTGAAAGGTTTTCTGCCTAAAAGACTTTTTATGATGGAGTCCTTGGACATAAAACTTTACAAGACAAGAAGTTTTAAGGGTTTCTATTACACGAGTTTAACGCAACTGCGTAAGAGGTCTATTGTAACAATTACATTTTATACATCTTATATGGTGTTACTTTCAAAATTGTTGAGTCACAAAAATGTAAGATTTTGTCATTACTTCGTAATTTATTTAACCTCTTCTAGCATTACGATGTTTGTTGAAGATCTTGATAATGGTGTAAGTATTTAACACTTTAATTATACCATTTCAGGCAACAATTTTATACATATACCAATATTATGTTCATTACTTGCTTATAAAAAAACAAACTATATACTGGCTATATACTATATAATTCCCAGTTTTACTCACGGATATTTTTTCGTCAGACATTTTTATACTAGATAGATATGATTAAGTTTTACAATAAATAAATTCCGTTCTTTTGGCGCGTAAGATCAAATATAATTACATGGATCAAATATAATTATTTTTCATAAATTATTATTATTCAATCCATGAAATCCTTAGCCCCTCTCTCACCTTTATTTGAGAAACGATTGATCCCAAAAATGTTTTAAATGTGTGTGACTTCCTAAAATTGTAACACACAGTTATCCACGGATCTGGTAATAATATGTATAGGTGGAAGAGCTCTTAAGACGTATCCAAGATATACATAATTGGTTTAAAAGTCCCAAAAATTAACAAAAATTAGTATTTTATCAATTCTACTTTTAATCTAAACCACTACTACTAGAGACCTACAAAATAGTCTAGTGTGAAATTGTCATGGAAGAAGTTTAATAATAACTATACGGTCGTCTTCTGATGAGGGGTTTTGGAAGGATGACCTCAATTTTGGATGACTAAGTTCACACAGAGTTGCATGATACATATTATATACAAGTTGGTTCGATGTGCGTGTGACGCAGAGGCGCGGGCGGCCACGTGCGGCTGTAGCGTTGCCTGGCGACGTGCGGGCCCCGGGCCCCTGGTCGCGGGTCGCGGGTCGCGGGCGCCGGGACGTTACATTCTTAGTCCGCCCGCGCCCCTCGCCCGCACCCATAGCCACGGACGCCGGCTACGTCTCTCGAGTACGACCAGTCCGCACGGAGCGCTCAACCGAACGTCGTGTACGGCGCTTTTTCTGCGCGCACTGACAGCCGCACTTGACGGCGTGTGCTCTTTTATCGCTAGCCGATCTCAATTTATTTAGGGTTTCCCAAAAGAAAAACCTATTTGACGAAATGGACGAGGATCTGTCCCAGAGTGCTTCCGGAGGCGCTTCTCCTACTTACGACGAAAGGTATGCAATACGCTTCCCTTACTTTTAGTATTTAACATCCCGCTTTCCCCGTATGCTTCGGCGAATTCCGGCCACTTGTTATTAAGTAGTGTGTTAAAGACCTATGGTTTCTTGATCACCGCCTACGCTAACATTAAATTTACGTTCATAGTATCAAAACAAAACGGTACGGTAACTATTTTAATTACAACAAACTATGTGAATTTAATATTTTATTGTAAAGTTTTTTAACTTAAACATTTTTATAAATGACTAACCAAGATAACTGAAGTTAAGATAACCAACTGAGGTAATTCACTTTATCATTAACTTTTTTTGGTTATGAATTATGATAGTTTATATGTAAGATATGTATGTGCAAAACCCTTATGTTTTACCATATTTCTATAAAATATGGAAAAAATAAAACTTGCTTTTCGTCAGTTGTAAACAATTAAAAATTAAGTTAATATAAAAATTTGATACATTTATGATTAAGTGACATTGCTGCTATTAAAGTTATCCTATGCATAATATTAAACTTTTTATAAATTCAATTTTCAAAAAAAAATTGCGAATTTTTAATCACAATTGTATGCTTATTTATTCTAACTTACTTTAGATTGTTGTATATAGTAATTGCTAAATATATGCATAAACATGGTATTTGTACGATGCTTAAATTATCTTGACGAATGAATTCTTGAAAAAGTTGATAAAAAAAAAATCTGCAATATTCCGTCTTTAAAATGTTAATATGATATACAGTCAATTTCTTTTACTGTCTATGATATTTGAAATCTATATTAATAATTAAGTTGGGGTTAATTTCTAATCACATTTTCGTTCAAGTAGAATAATCTCCTCCAAAATAAATTAATGAGCTTTTGATGAATAGTAAAGGCAAAGCTTTACTCATGAATTTTAATTACACATTGAGCCACCTCTTCGTTGGTACGTAAAAAGCTTGTAACTACTTCACTATATATGCTATCTTTTTCCTCCAAACTTGTGAATTTTAATTTAGGCCAGGTATCTGAAAGAGGGTGAATTTTCTTTCTAAATTTAAAAATAAGAATTTGAAAGATAACGTACTTCTGAAAATAAATATAGGATAGCTTATCTGGGCAGCATCAAGACATTATTTTTGATCTAATTAATTATTATCAAAGATTACTTCTAATATAAAATGTTTTTGTATTTAATTCAAACCCTTGTATTAGAACCGATAGTTACAACAGTAGTGTAGTAATATACTCTAAAAAATATCGTAATTATAATGATATCAGTAATAATAATAATATAATAATTTTTATTAACTCGACGTCTAAGGTTCTATCATATTGCGAAAAACGCAGACACAGTATTTTTGATTATACCAGTAACGATTAAACCGATATATTAAATATTTATAAAAATAAAAAGTATGATAAACTTTGCCCGAGGTGTCGTTTGCTCATCAAACTAATTTTATTCTTTTATAGAAAGAATAAAAATTAAGTACTTTATATTACTTACTAATAACTTATTTTTATGAGACTTTTTTTCTGCAAGTGACCAGCCGAAACAAAAAAAACAAACAAAAATCGTAATAATGTTTTGGTATCCACACGCAAAATATAGTTAAAAGCGGTATTGTTAATATATTTTACAAAGATAGAACAAAAGTAAAAGTCCTAACAGAATGAAAGAAATGTGGTCTGGTTCTATGTTGACTCGTTTTCATTTGACCGCACTCATCGTTTGTAATAAAACTAATTTTGCAACTTTTCATTCCACTTCAAAAGGATGTTCACGATTCCTTTCCTTCGTAACTTATCAGTAAGGAAAGCGAGGAAATCTAACAACAACTAGCTCGTCGACGTTTTCATCAGGAGATGTCAAAGCGCCAAAAACTGTCGAATCTGAATTGTATTCGTTTGAAATTTTTGTATTCGTACTTTATAGAAACCTGTTTTATGGCCGACTTCAAATTTCTCACTTGAATTATTCAAATATTTTTAGTGGACAAATATTTCGAGTAGGTATATGTTAATATATAAAATAAAGTCTTCCTACCGAAGAGAATTCTTTTCAAAAGGTACTAAGCACTATTTAATTGTCGACATTTATTAGTCATTTTGTATTTTTTTCATAATAAATATATGAAAAGTATAAAACCGGAGAACGATGCTGAGTCGTCGTAACATTATTTTAATTTTATTGACATGTTTTGCTTACAATTAAACTTGTTTTAAAACTTATAAATCTTATATATCATGGGTTGAACACAAAAGTATGATGCTTAGCATGTGCTAAGCCTTGGGTTTGGCTAAATCCTAAAACATGGGTTTACATCGTGACAATATATACGTAGCGTAATTTTTTTTCATTCATAAATTTTGCCGCATTATAAAATAAATTTAGGTTATTGTGTGAGAAACGAGAAACGCTACGTAAGTAGTGTGACGAAAGAAAATTGTGCTTAGGAAAGTAGTGATCTGTCTTAAATAACGTGCTTCAAATAATTGATTAATTACGGACTTATTTGGCGAACGCTAAAATTTGGAAGAAAACTTATTTTTATCCTCAACCCCTTCCCCATCGCCTCGCTACTGTTAATATGAATAATAAAGTAAGCCGAACCCGACTTTGAAACATAGCTATATTCATTACATTTTATTTTCTATTCCCATATCTAACTAGCATTTGATTTTAAATTTTTTATTAGTTTATACCCCTTAGTGTAGCAATAGATTGCATGTAGGCTTTAATATCAGGTAGTCTATCAAGGAAGAACCTAATTTTCGCGCTATAAATAGAAAATGTATATAAAAATTGATGCCAATTAATTCTATATTATATTACATTATTATATTCTTGTCAAAGACAGAACAGTAATCAAATCGACGACATTAAAGTTTTGATAACGTAATCTACTAAAAGTGAATGAGAAGTTAATTTATTGTTATAAATATAAAGGGTTTTAATCTCTTGACTCTTTATCACTGCCACAAACCCGGTGACAAAAGGTGACAGTCATTTGAGATAATAAATAATGAAGTGAAATTCAAACTAGAGATATAATAATATTATGTATTAAAATTGAATGTCGTTAACTTAAGTTTTGTAACAAAGAAAACAATATTAAAGCATAAATAGCTTATTTTTTATTTGATTTAATAATGAAGCACTTTTGTTTGGGGGTTCCATTTTAAACATTCTATTTTGACTTTGTTCCACGTTGTTCATACCTCGTTGTTCAAACGGCGGGTCTACCTGATCGGTTTGCGATTTGTTTTGTACGATACCGCACCACCGCTTTGTGGGGGAAGGCGGGTTGTTGGAAATTTATTCTTATTTTTGTTGCTACAAGGACAATAACTTGATAACTACGCTGCGTCTATAAACACTCAATGAATGAACACCCCATTCTGTGTAGGGTACTTATACATAGGTTATTTTTCATCCCCATTCGGTGAACTTTGGGACAAAAACCGGCAGGTACCCAAAACCGATTATTTTCAAGAAAGTTTTTTTCTTACTCAATTTTCCTTTTTAATGGAATTATATTAAAAATCAATGTTTGTATGCCTTTATTTCTTGAATGTACTGTTTTGATATGTTCGAAATTGTGTTCACGTATGAACAGGAATAACACATTGACCACTTTGAATTCACAAACAAGCTTTCCGGTCACATGTGATTTGATGGGTGAAATTAGCGGCTGCAAAAATCAAAGAGGACGTCATCAAGGTGACATGACGACAACTTTATGGTTTACAATAGAATTGTCAAAACCGTGTAGAACAACTTCAAATACAACATGCGGTTCCCAAAGTGAACAATGGTGGAGCTTGGAAAGACGACAAGTAAGAATCAATCGGATTTCTTACAGAGTCCAGTTTATTATTATCTCGGTTGAGCAGAGCGACTGTTTGTTCACCTGGCGTTGTATCACAAACATTCTTGATACTTTCTAAACATAAGATATAGGCGCGGATTGCTTGAATTGAATCCAGGTTTTTGTTGCGTTGAATGGTAACCAAAACATCAGATAAGGAACGATAGCAGTGGGATATAATTGTTGTAATAATAACTGTTGACCAACAGTGAGTAACTTTTGTTAACCCTACCTTGCTTTTGTGAATAATAAAAAGGCAAGTAATGGGAATAGTATTGTGTTGAAAGGACAAATGATATAGAGTGTTGTCCACATCGTCAGTTAGATGTTGAGCTTTAAAAGGTGGCCAGGCTCTCATTGTCTTTTAAACCTAAACTTGCTAAAGTTCTAAAATAATAATAATAATCGCCGCTGTTGGTGTGTGAAGTTATTTTTGAGCGGTATTTATAATAAAATTTCATATAAACTAGTTACCTACAAAATAATCTTAAAAAGAGAAACAAAATTATTTTAGATTGCGAAATTGCAGACTAATTTTTGTTTATAAATTATTGAAATTTTGCATTTAATATACAATCAATTGAAGTTGATTAGAAAAGTACGGATCAGCAAAATTGTCCTGAGATTTATAAATAAGATGTTTTGAATGTAAATACTTCAAGCTAGTTAATGAGTTCAATTACCTGTGGGGGTGTTTTCAATGGGTGTCATCAATTTGTTTATTTATTAAAGAGCTTTTGTAAAAAAATAACTCTGGAATAGTTTAGTCTGATTAAGCTATTTTAAGATCAATGTATAAATAGATATTTCCAATCAGTTAGCCCTGGTCTAAAGAAAACCCTTTTTTTCTAATAGCAAATCATTCAAAAATATTTTTATATCTAACGTTAATGTCTTTCGCATTCACTACTAACAGATTCAGATTTTAATTTATATAACAAATGCCATTGAATCTAAGAAAGAAAAATGGTTGAATGTGTAATAATAATCGACGATTAATAAACTTAAGGTTGAACTTTATTAGAATAAATATTTCGAACGCGGACTGTAAGTAAAATTCAAATTCCATTTCACTCCGCTTGAGGGGCAAGATTGTGTAACAGTTTATTCAGACTTTCAAAGTTACATTCCAATATTTATTCAATCCCTTAACTTTATAATTTTGTGAGCTATATTAAGAGTTTATCATTAACTGTAAAAAACGAGACTTTCTTAAATGATGTAATAAAAATAATATATTATTTAGAATTTTTTCTTAGCTTTCTTTCTTCAGTCCTTCTAAAAATATATATTAAGATTAGCTTGTTTCCCCAGCGCTATAAATTATATGCACCTGGTTTGATGAAAACGCGATGTTATTGTTTCTATGAAATTATTTTTTTCCTTCAATACTCATTTTTAAA